AAACTAAAATATTCTGAGGGAATTTGTTTGTCGCAATGATTCATATATCTTGTAAATGCCACAAACAGTTGACAGATCATCGATGATTCAACTCATCGGAATTATTGTAAATATTTGAACAACAAGAAAGTAACTACTCAGCAATAACTATTCAATAGGGTTATGCTATAGTAAGAATTGAAGTCGTGAGCACATTTTCACGCCACTGGATTATCGCAAATGAAATCACGAGTGAGCGTAAACATTGGCGATGAATACATGGGCTACATGCACGAATGAATCTTGAACGAACTGACGAGACAAAAGAGAGTTGGAGAAGAAAAAAAAATAGTTATACGAACAAATAACAACACTTCGTGGGCCATACATGATATTATTATTATTTGCCATAGGATGATGATGTAATTCATTCGACAGCAGCCTGAATTTCAAAAATAACTGCACTCAAGATAAACAACAGAGCACGCGGGTTGAAATGCGGCTTAATTCGGCGCAAAATTAGCAACAAGGGCAATAAACATAAGTGTGTAAGCTACGAATAACAACAACAACGAAAAATATGTGCGATAATTTTTTTGTTTCCCATTTTTTTTCGGTTATCATTCTCAAAAAAAAACGCGAGTTAACGAATCCAAAATTCCAGACGAATTATTTTGTTTATTCATGTGAGTGATACTTGTTGATTCGGTTGTTATATCAAGCCTTAAGCTGATGTCAGTCGATCGTCATGAAATCACTAGCAATGCGAGAAAAGAGTAATACATTTTTGCTATCGAAACGAATATCGTGTTTTAAGCAATTTCAATTGCACTTTTTTTCGAATCATTTACGTCTGGCAAGTGCTCTAGAAACATTGAACAATGTAAATGATTTCGTGTAATTTTGAATGTAAATGGCTCAGAAAATATTTCCATTTAATAGCTGTGTTTTTGCCTCAGATCCACTTGACAATTTTACAAATACACTGACTAAACTGACCTAACCGTTTGTCGACACGCTGGTTTAACGACTGTTTTTCTTTGCAAACAATCAATACATGGGATAGAGACAACAAGTTGAATTAAGATAATGTCATTACTTATCGTAATGTATATTGTCGTAATTCTATTTATCTCTTGGCTAAGCAACTGATACAAGAAAATGAAAATAAAATGTTGTATTGACTTATGACTGATTTAGCACTATCGTCTTTGCCTACATAAGTGTTGAGATTGCAATACATTTTTAAGTGAAATTATAGAATCCTAGGTCACACTGTGATGACCAATGAATGATGGTTTTGATTTGATATGTGTATGAATTTTAATTTTTGGTCCATCGTTCAATTTACATTGCCAATTGGTCAATCGGTTCTAACAAATTCAACAAAAAAATGTCATATGGAAATTCTTTAGCTAACTCAGAATCGAACTTAAATCCACACGAATAAGTTATGCACCGACAACTACGGCTAGCCATGATCAAACCAAAAACAGACAATCTTGTTCTTAAAATAATTTACAGCTAAGTACAATAACCAAATCGAATCATTTGATTCGCTTAAAATGTGGAGAGGCAAAAAACCACAAATTTAATGATTTTGTTGACTTGTTTTGACATCGGTTTTTGCATCAGAATGGCATGTACCATAAATATTTTATGGGTAACTTTTGTGTTATTACATGGAGACAATTTTTTAAGAGAAGAAGAAAAAAACCAAATTAAATAGGTTGAGCGAATGCGAAGCTTAAATTACGTATTGAACGCAAATGAGAGCTCTAGTAAAAATAGACTGTTCCTGACTGAATTTCCACACCACTGGTCAATTTCAACGCAAAATAATCACTGACTTATTTTAGAGGCCATCGAAAAAATATTAAACCCCTTTTCGTCGCAATGGATATCCATTGCAATGAGAGCCGCAGTCGTAATAGCATCGTAATCGATTCATCGAACATTTATCAAAATGGTTAGAAAATTTAGCTATCGGCGCTGAGGTCATCAACGGTAGTAGTTGATTGTAATCGAATGAGTAGCGGTAGTCCAACATCGATGACATCAATTTGTCACATACGAAAATGCAAAAAAAAATCAAACAAAACAAAAATGTAAACCTTCACGAACACTCGAAAGAGAGTAAAAAGTAAAATATAACCGAAAAATGGTCTGTGTTACGAGTGGGGTGTGGCGCATTTTAGCGCTAATACATAGAAACTAATAAGAATTTAACAACATAACTAACAATTGTACAAACACACATCAAAACCGGTGTGTGTGTGTGTGTGTGTGGTTCAAGCACGCGTTTTTTCCGCTGTTGTTACTCTTACTGTCGGTTTGACAGTCCAATTGAAAATATTATTACTTATTCTGGTCGTCGATCATGGCTTATGTATTGCAAATAAAATTCATGTGAGTTCAGCGCATTCAACTGGCTAAAAACAACAATAGCGTTCAAGTGGCTAAAGAAACATTATAATTTTTGTGCGTGTGTGTATATGTCTGTTGTTTTGGTTTTTGGCAGCACTGGTATGTGCTCTCGCTGTGTTAATGTCTGCTCCTCGGTTCGTTTTGCCTATTGTTCATTTTGTTTCGGTGCTGTTGTATGTATGCCATTTCAACAAGCACTTTGTCATATGTGTAATGCCGAAAAATGTATACACTCATTGAAATGTTAATTAACAATTATTTATGCGTCATTTGCGAGTGTCATCTTTCTACATAGTCAGATTTTTATCATGTAATTCAATTAAATTATGTATTTTTTTTAAATCAATTAAATCCACATCCAGCATGGTATTCTTCATTTGGGATTTTAGTCAAATTCCATTGAGCAGATCAGATTATTGGGGAATTTCGACATACAAACACACACACTTTTTGAATGGAAATCTTTGAACTGCACCTGCATTTGGGAACAATCGTTTTGGTCATGATGATCACGTCATCATTTTTTTCGCAAGCACAAGAGATATAGGGAAAGACTAAAAGTGCTGAAAATGCTTATGATCACGCAATGCCAAAATGTTCTGAGAGACACATCAACGTTGTTGAGCTGCGATGTGTTTACGTATGTATATATATGTGTGTGTGTCTTCATTACATCAGCGTTTCTCTCGGGTGTCGTCATTTATCAACAGCCAAAATAAAAATAGTTGTACTTCATGGAGAGTTTTTGGGGCGTTGATGGATCGTTTCACTATTCTGTATGGGTTATTTTGGATTCGAATAATGCGAAGCACTGTAGAAATCGAATGGTGGACAAAGGAAGAAACAAACTTCATTTCGATTCAGGTTTTTTTATCTATCCGCATTTGATCGCATATGCCTGCCTTTGACACGGTACGTTTATTGAGCGCAAGGACAAAAATCTTGAAATATAAAAAACTCTCTTCTTTAACCCATCTTCTTAGTTTTGTGTGTATGTGTGTGTGTGTTTGCAAATAGTCGAAATCCCATTTGGATTCAGAATAGTTCAAAATTTGCATAAGTTTGAGCGCTAAACAGAGATTTGGTTCGGATAATGATTCCAATAACATAAATTATGGTTGAATCAATTTCATTTTCCGAAATTGTTGCTAATATTGATCGCTTCAAGTGTAGCAAATCGCCACCGCTTAATCGTGGAATTCAAGCGGAACATTTTTCTATGGTTATTTTAATCGCCATTATTAAATCATCCGAAAAAAACAATGCTAAAACGCATCGTTCCACAAATGTATCTAATGGTATTCATCTGTTTTTATTGGAAAAGTCACGATCGCTTAGAATACAAACGAAAGAACGAAACGCAAACGCTACGAAGCAAACTCATCCGGAGTTCGTAACGGAATTTCGGTGCGCTCAACCACATATTGAAATCGAGACACCATTACACACGCACAACCAATGATCACACCGTTTATTCTGGCCGCTAATGTTGAGTGTATTTCGACTTTATTTGTCATTTCTCTTGATCTCTGCTATGCCAATTGTTAAATTGATAGACAATCGAACAAGGCAACAAACCTTATTGGATTTTGATTAATTTTATCAAAAAATAAAACTATTAAAACAAGCAAAATCTATGCATTAGCAACCGCCCATCTGATTCATAACGGAATAGCTTGAGGCTGGGTGCAATCATTGATATT